CAACGGTCGTTACAACGATACAACGCGCGGTTTACATAAATGCGAAGTATCGAGCGACGAGATGCTTTATGCGCGATAATCAAATCGAAGAAGTCCTCTTATCTTGTTTCTCTCCCACTCGATGATGGCGCGCGATCGAAGATACCGTATCGATACAGGGTGTAACTATAATTATTTCAATACCGGAATTTACATACAAGACGATTATAACTCGCGTCGCGTTTCGTATGCGTCGACCAAATGGTATGGTCGTCATCCGTGAATAATTCTTATCAAGCTCTCGACTCGCATATATTCAATAGAAAGTCGTTCAGTCATGTAATAACAATAATGAGAGAAATACAACCCAGTTTAATTGTACCACGGAACCGCAGTGCGTTACACTTGGCGATTGAGTGACAGTCTAATGCACCAATAACCGTTCCCTTTCTAAAAGAATTAAGAAGATTACATTTCTAAAAAAAAAATATTAAAGAATTTCAGATTTTCTCTTTGCATTATTATTAACATATTTGTGCAAGATATTTTAGAATAGACGCATTCAAGAAACTATTGAATTTATCTAAAACACACTATATATAGACACAGTTAAGATAGAAGAGATATGCGTAAAAGTAGCTTTCACAACGATTGTGTTTCGTGACAAAGCAACATTATAAAACATTTTTCACGTGTCAAAGAATACATATTTCTTTAATGTCCGAGGAAAATTATTATTATTTTATTTATTAATATACTTTTATTTATTAATATCGATTAATAATGCGAAGGAATATGATCGGTACATATGTCGAGGTGTCTCTGGTAATATACCTGTTTATTATACACGACCCGTGTTTTCTGGAGCACACGAAAGTCTGCGGTGCGATTTGCGCAACGCGGAATTCCGACGACTTCCGGTTTGGATGTCAAGCCGAACAATGGACGATCCCCGCGTTCGGCCAAGTGTCGAAACTCGCAGAAAAGGAACCGCCGTCCAATTCTCCGTCCTTCACCCGGAGGACACCGTTTCTCTCTCACCGCGACACGCAAGCTCGCCTGAGGAATAAACGGGCACCGATATTCAATAAATAACGAGACGCGTACGAGATAATTGAGAGACCATAATTGCGCGCATCTTGCGTATTTCGTGGCGAATAAACGCGACCGTCCCGGCTGGTCTCGTCATGTGGGCCCCGCCAGGGGACCGCGGATGCCTCCCTCCGTTCGGTAGGATACAAAGGGACTTTCGAGCGAATACGCCGCGACAAACAAAAGGGCTCGGTGCGTCGACTTCGTCGCTTCTTCGCCGAACGTTTAACTTCCATCATCGGGGCCTCTTCCCTGCGCCGAATCGTCCTCGCTCTCGCCCCCTCGTCCCTTTCGCCTTGTCCCACCGCGTACCCTCCATCGTCTTTCATCCCGCAGCGTTATGTCATGCGCTTCCCTTTTCCACTATTGAACACTCATCAGCCACCTGTGATCGTCCTCGACTTTCTCCAAAGTTATAATTATGTCGGACTTCGTATAGTGCGCTCTGCGTGTGTTACGTTTGTAGATACGTTTTGGAGTCGGGTCTTAGCACGCCTTACTTCCGCTTGCCTGGTAAAATATTTATCTTTATATCTCCTCCATCTTAAAAGATTTGTCAAATATTTGACGATCGATATCGTCACGATTCAATGATTGTGAAGACACGTCGAGGAAAATAAAAATGCCATACATTACAAAATGTCATATATTTAATCTGTTAATTTGGATATTAACGAGAGACAAAAGTGCAATTGTTTTTAATATTGTAAATAAAAATGAAAAACTCCTTTTTATTTTTGCTTATTCAATTTGCAATAATTTATATTCGACATATACTTCGAAAAATACTCGAATTAATTTTAGAGAGAAGCTCTAAAATTGCAAGCTTGTTTAGTAAATATAAACGTGTGCAAAGCTAAATTTATATGAACATATATACATTATCATTGTCTTTGGAAATATAAAGAATCATCTCAAATAATTTGTTACTCCAATTTTCGCAGATTTGTGGCTTGCAAGCGTAGCAGGAATTATGACGATGCAATATAAGAAAGCAGTCGGAACTTGACGCTCTACCCTCGGAACGATCACGGCCATGAATCGCCGCGTTAGAATGGTCGGGAGACAATTAAGATGGTATCGTTTAATTAGGGCCAGGCCCTACGAAAACAAAGCCGTCCGACGCCATACGCCTTTAACGTCGACGCGTCGACGCCGCTAGTCGGTCCTGCCGTCCTTCCTATCGTTCCAAAACGCGTGATAAATTGACTAGAAATAGGTGAGTCGGGGCAGGTGATGTCAGATTGGCAGATGTTCTTCGTTGCCCGACGCCTTCACCGCGACGTTATTATCCTCGTTCTCTCCTCCTATCCTTTGTGCATGCTGGATATGATAACGTATCGCTACTGTTTATACATTTCGAACTCTGACTCTGTCGGATTATCGTATTAAAAGCTGGCATTCTTAAAATTTAATTCGGACGATGATTCCATGTGTCCAATCAAAGCAAAAGTTTTCAATAGACACTTCGATTTTCTTGACGAATTGATGCAAACGCAACAATTTTTCGCATCTATAACATTAAAAAACTGGATTCATCAAACTTAAAAATGTGAAAATTTATTTGAAAAAATAGCAATGAATATCAATCTCCGATAGATTTTCTCGACACGAGCGCTATATCGAAAAGAGGATCGGATTATGCTTCGTTAATTTAGTAATTTGAGCACTTCGATATCAATACCATGATTCACCTCGCGATATTAGCCGAAGGAGTATCGTGGTATCGACGTCGTTATCAAGAATTACACGAAGGCTCGGATAGAACGTTCTCGCTACATATTTATGGATGTATGCTAAACATACATTTCGTTCTCCCTTATTTAGCACCGTTCCAGTACTCCGCGCAATTATATTCCGCAAAGCGTACGATTTCGCCTTAATGAGCGCCGTCGAGCCAGACGCCCGTTTTATCGGATCGCGAAAACGTCTCTCGGCGCGGGGCACGTGATCGAGCACGAAGGATTCGCCTAGGATTAGCGGTATCGATCGACGATAATCCGAGGGAACGATCGCGGCCGGCGTACCTCACGCATTATGAAAGCGGTATCGTTCGAGAAAGAACGATGCCGGGGGATACGGTGACTAGATTATGGAGTTTGCACCGCGCGGAATTATAACTGTGGTGATGGCGCGCGGGACGATCGGTGGACGGGGAAGCGGGGGGGGAGGGGGAGGGAGGATGATGGGGGAGGAAAAAGAAGGGACGCATGGATGAAGGAGGGGAGGGGGAACTTGTGCATGTGTGGAGTGCCACGTACGTACCATAATGTCCGGCGATATCGCCCGCGGGTCGAGAGGACGAGGAGGAGGAGGAGGATGAGGAGGAGGAGGGGAGAGGGAGAGGCGGTATCGAGAGGGAGAGGGATCTCCGAGAGTTCTCCGAGCTCTTCTCTTCCGCGAGATACGAGATACCTCGCTTGCGGATCGTCACGCCGTTCCACACCCCCGTAACACACGCATGCACGCGAGCCAGCGCATAAGGGTCTCCCGGTGTACACCCACTCGGCTCATCTTTAATCCGTTAGATTCCGTGAATGCTTGCGGCCGGCCTCTACCTTCTCTCCCTACTCTCCCCGCTTCTTCCCCGCTCACGACGTTGATTCGAGACCGCGATTCCGCGTAATTGGGATTAGATTATTAGAGTCCTGTGCGCCTCTGTAGCCCTCCTCCCCCGCCCGCTTCTCTCTCGCTCCCGGCAGGAATTCGCATCATCGCGCACGTTTCAGTGGAAACATGGATTATGCTCCCGTGAGCGTGATATCCTCCGGCCCTTCTCCCCCTCCTCTCCCTTCTCGCGGTAATCAAAGCGACCGACGTATCTTGTTTTAGGAGACGCGCAAAACGCGTTTAATCTTTTTCGCGCAGCACTCTTCCTAATGTAGAAATGAGCGATATGTGTTGTGTACATTTGCAGTTTACAATTCAATCTGTCTTGAAATTGGACGATCTCGACGAAGTAGGAATATTATCTTTACGTAGTGAGTCAGCCTTATCATTTGTCTGATTTTTTCACTCGTTTCAAACATATATGTGTGTACGTATATAATGATTTGATTTCATTTTTACTGTTACGATTCTTAACGGGTTCGATTCTTTTTTTTTTTTTTTTTTTAATCGATGAAGGAAAACGCAGAGGAACAATTTACTTGGAAATTGCGACAAGTTTAGATTCAATAGCACGAAAAAGTTAAAAATACACCTACAGAGAAAAGTTAATTCGGAATAAAATGTTACTATTTGTAAACGCGAACAATGCTCTATTTCATAGCACGGTATATGACGAAAATATATCTATGTTGACAAAGCGGAGAGAAAGACATATGTATATAAAAGAGAAGGGACGAGGAATCTTGAATCCGCGCGCGTACAGACGAGCATTCATCGCGACGAGTTTGCCATTGAGTTCATTTCTTCCTTCGTTCTCACATTGCCCGTACGGAAACATTGATATTCCGTCGATAGATAAGCTCTCGGCCGATCGATCGCAAACACAGCTGGATTCACTCAGGTAATCCGAATACAACGAGCCGTTGTGTTACCACGACGGTTCTCCGCGGCTTTGTGTATCTTACCCGCCGTCTTCTCCGGGCGATCCTCTGCACACGCAGCTTGCCGCGGTTCTGCGTATTTCGCTATCTTTCGGCTGCCCTCGGAAATGCCGACTCTGTTTGACCGGATTAACCGACTAGACGATTCCTAAATATGCCGTTTGCGAAGTCATTCTCTCCCAAGCGAGCTAACTAGTCTCATCTGACGGATATAATTCGGAGAGCATCTTTAAAGTATGTTACATCTCAGTTTTTTTCAACTAGATGACATATATGAGACATGAAGTGAATATAGAAAATTGTAAAACGATATAAATACAATTATTTGTGCCTACAAATCTTTTTAACATTAAAACATCGATCTTGATTTGCTTGCAGGTACGACCTGGGCTTACGTCGGGGTAGCTAGTGAACCCTCTCTCGGTGGCGAAAGGAAGAATAAGACGGGGAGGCAATCGGCGAGTAAGCGGGCGAGTCCGCGTGGAAGAAGAAGAAGAGGAAGTCCGGAGAACGCAGGCGCAGGCACCGTAGGTGATGTGAGGCTGGCGCCCGCCTCACGTCTGGGGTGATGCCCTCCAGTGAGCCTCATCCCCCGTACCACCTTCAGCACCACAATATTCCTCCGTCGCATCTACAGCAACACACGCCGAGCGCGATCGAGCATCAGTTGTTTCAGCACCTGGTGGCGGTCCATCAACAGCAGCAGCAGCAGCAACAGCGACAGCAGCAACACGGCGGGCCCTTTCAAAATTCCACGTACACGCAGAAGCAGGAGATGAGCCCGGAGGAGGAGGGGGGCCGAGGGGGTGGGTCCCCCCCGGCGGCTGGGGCTGCGTTACATCAGCCCCATCACCCCCGCACGGCCAGTCCACCTTCGGGCACGGAACCCTGCACCCGCGACGCGATACCGACACCTATACCTATCGCGGATACCACCACCACCACCACAACCACTACTATGACGATGCAATCGCAGGGTCAACAGCAACAGCAAGGCCCTAGTCCGAGTCCGAGTCCGACGGGCGGCGACGTGGAAAAATTCGACGGTAAAATCGTCTACAATCCGGATGGGTCGGCCTACATCTTCGAGGGCGAGAGCGAGCTGAGCGAAGATGACTCTCTACCCGACGGTTGTATCGTGGACGGGCGCGGTGTATCGGTTCCTCACTCCTTAGTTTTCCCGCAAATCGCGAACGCATACTATGTGTCGCGGTTGTACGCGCATCAGGCCTACCAGCAGCAGCAGCAACAGCAACAACAACGTTCGACGGTCCAACAGCACAATCCCGATCTTCCCGTGATGCACAGTTACCGGGTGATCAGTTATAGGAGCGCGGAAGGTAGTAAACAGCAACTTGCTCCAAAATTCACAGAGCCACCATCGCCTGCATCAGTACCCATCAAACCTATCTTAATGTGTTTCATATGTAAACTCAGTTTCGGATACGCGAAAAGTTTCGTTGCGCACGCTCAGGGCGAGCATCAACTTACTTTAATGGAAGACGAACGACAGATACTCTCGCAATCGACGGCATCGGCCATCATTCAGGCTGTGGGTAGAGGAAAGCAGCCACTTGTTAGTTTCCTAGAGCCTGTCACGAATTTGGCTTGCGCTCAAGCATTACCACCGCAAACACAAGGTCAGCAGCAACAGCAGCGTAACGAGACCAACGAACACGAGACAACGACAACGAACACCCCAGCGAGCACACCTGGCGTACCTAGCAGTCCTCAACAACAACAACAATCGCAACAGACTCAGCGACCCTCGCCAAGCACTCCCACAACGCCAACGTCACACTCGAATCATCCTCTCACATACAATCATCAACAGCATCAATGGACCGGCGCACAAGTTAGCGCCGTCTCTTGGGCCAAGGCTCCTGAAATGCATTACAGCTCACCACCGCCATCGGCTTCGTCGGCTAAAGGATCTCCATCTTCGTACGCGCTTACTCATCCACAGAATCCGCCGAGTTACAGCGGCGGTACTACGATAGGTGTTTGTGCGGATCATATGCAAGGCAGGCCGAGTGGAGTGGAGTGCGGCAGGTGTGAATTAATATTAGCTACCAGTCGACTCGCTGGGGCCACTGGACCACTCGCTGGCATCCACAGTCGAAACTCTTGCAAAACTCTGAAATGTCCTAAATGTAACTGGCACTACAAGTATCAGGAGACCCTCGAGATACATATGAAGGAGAAACATCCGGAAAACGAAACATCCTGTATATATTGCATCGCAGGTCAGCCGCATCCTAGGTTAGCGCGTGGTGAGACCTACACTTGCGGATACAAACCATACAGATGCGAGGTATGTAATTATTCTACCACGACGAAGGGCAACCTCAGTATACACATGCAAAGTGACAAGCATCTGAACAACATGCAAGAACTGCAGCAGGGTAGCGGAGGTGCCTCCGCTACCAGCAACCCCTCTTCGTCTCAAGACACGCCGTTGCCGACACGGAGCCCTCACCATCAGCAGAATCACAATCCACATCTGGCCGCCCAGAGTAGTAATCAGAATAAACCGAAGCATTCGTTTCGCTGCGACGTGTGTAACTACGAAACGAATGTTGCGCGGAATCTGAGAATACACATGACGAGCGAGAAGCACACGCACAACTCGCTCGTTCTGCATCAGAACATCAAGCACATGCAAACATTGTCCGTGTTGTCCCACCATCATCAAGCGCAGCAGCATCATCAGCAGGCGCAACAGCATCAACAACAACTCGAACAATTGCTTCACTTAGGCGGTCTCGACAAACCGCAACATGCGGAGGCGGCATTAGCTGATATGGCTTACAATCAAGCGCTTCTGATACAAATGATGACCGGCGGTCCACTGCCACAACAGCTTCCGCCTGAAATCATGGCGAATATGGCTGCCATGACTAATCTTGGCGGCGATGTTGGACTTTCGCCGGACAGCATGGAACCACCGCCGGAACCTGCGGACCAGGATCCCTCTCATCTCTATCACTGCTGTGTCTGTAACAACTTCGCGACGGATTCGCTCGAGGCTCTAGGTCATCACCTAGCTGTCGATAGAACGAGAACTCGCGAAGGCGAGATACTTACAGTGTTAAACGCACACTTCATTTGCAAACTCTGTTCCTATAAAACCAATCTGAAAGCGAATTTCCAACTACACTGTAAGACTGATAAGCATCTGCAACGGCTGCAGCACGTGAATCACGTGAAGGAGGGTGGTCCACGCAACGAATGGAAACTCAAATACTTGGCGTCACCCACGAGCGCTGCGCAATTGCGTTGTCACGCGTGCGATTACTATACCAACAGCGCTCATAAATTGGCTCTACACGCCGCCTCGCCCAGGCACGAAGCCGCGGCGCTTCTGCTCCGTCATCTTATCGAGGCGAGCAACAACATCCAAACTCCTGGAAAATTATATCACTGCGCTCTGTGCGTATTTAGTGCCAAGCACCGATTGCCGCTCCTGCAACACGTGAAATCTATGCGACATTTTCAAATGGAGCAGTTACATCAGCTTCACAGGAGAAGCAGCCTCCAAGGAAACGAGACTCCGCACACGGATATCAGCGACGTGTTTCAGGTAATGAGCGATCCCGATGTGCCGCCCACGCAACAACCGAGTCCGACCACGCCAACGACACCCAACGCTACGAGCACCAACAATGGTAAGTTATAACAATCTAATAATAAATAACAACTATTATATTTCTGTAGAATTTTTTTATATACATACATTAAGACTGAAATATTGTCAACATAAAAAATTATTTGTTATATATTCTTCGTTTCTTTAAGAAATACTTTTTTTTTAGTTTTTTTTTTCTATAGAGACAGCTGTCAAGAGATGCTTGAAAGAAGATTTCGATATTTTTCAATTTGTTGGTACATGAGGTATTTTTTTGATTACTTATAAACATGAGGTATTTTTTTTTATTACTTATAAACTTGTTTATTTTATATTTTAACAAGTTCTGATCGATGATTAATTGATAGATCATATATAATTTTTTTATATTAGATATATTTGAAGGTAATATTAAAAAAAATATTTTGGCGCATCGAAAATATAATATACAAAACAGAGTAGGATTGTGCTACGCATAATTTCTTTTATGGCAAATTTCTTTTATGTTGGCTTGACCGTACATTAATTTGCGCGAGCAAGGAAAACCTGCAACTACATCCTCATAATGATTTCACTGGTCTCATTATTTTGTTATCTCACAATTAGCCGGCAATGACGGTAATTTTGCATGGCATATGGCCGTGGCGTGTGCCGTCACCACCGGTGCGCACAATGCTGCGTGTTCTTATGTATATATATATTAGGTCTGTATTTATATAAATACATGGAAAAATGAAACCAGCAAGCACACGTTGCTTCGCGCGCTTTGCAAGACAACTGACGATCGTATCGTGCAAGCAAATTTTCGGACAATGCCCTACAGGCCGTGTTCTCCTTTAGTCGTTTTTAATCACCTCTTCTTTCTTTCTTTTTTTTTCTTTCCTTTCTTTCGTAGAAAACCACCGTATCGATTCGATGCGGCCAATCTGTAATTTGACATATTATTGTTCGCGAGACCGGCGTGAGAGCATCTGCGACGCGTGCGGAAGACAGACTGACCGTTGGTTCCTCGTCGCCTTCCTCTTTTCGACACGGCCGGAAAACTTTCTCTCCGCGACGGCGATACGTACGTGCGTGCGTGTTTTGCTTGCGTAAATCCTTCCGTTCGTGCACCGAAACGACCGGCAGAATATATAATTGCCCCGGTAATTTCTTCGCGAATCGGATGGACCGCGAGAGGAAGAATCGCGAGCGGGGTTCTCGGATAAGTCCAATCAATTTAATAGCGTCGCTAGAGAGAATGTCTGCGATACACAACCGATGGTGCGTACGTGACACTAAACGCGAACTTTACGTTACGCAGCATACTGTGCCATAGTTTAGCCAGTAGTATCTATAATTTACTTTCTCCTGTGGCGTTTCAAGCTAATGTCTCGGGGAATGAATCGCTACGAAATAAATGGCTGTCTCTTGCGCGCGTCTGAATACTAAATGCCCAAGTTTAATATTGCGCCGATTTTTTATTGTAGCAAATCTCGGTGAAATCGAAACGTAAATAATCTTACGGTAATAATAATATACATGGTAATTAGCTAAAGGAAACTGTAATTGTGAAATTTTCTACGGTAAGTGGAAATTTTTACATTTACATTTAGCCTTAAGTGCTTTCCGTATCACTTTCTGCACATGTAAGTGATTATATATCATGTCCGTTTTTAATTTATGACCGAGAAATGAATCGCTAAAAACAAGTGGACGCGAAAAACAAATTTCAAGACGCACATTCAGAGATTCGTAAATACTATAATAAATGAATCGTAAAAAAAACTTTCTTTTTTTCCTACATATTTAACATTGAAATTTCCATTTTGTTTTAATTTCACATCAAGATGTTTCGGTGGTAAAATTAAAAATACAGATCAATAAATGTCAATGTCAATTTAAAGACGAATTGTGTATAATAATGTAATTTGAGAATTTTACTTAGGAATTTCTATATTTTTAGAAATTTTATATACATTTGAAGACATTCTCCAAAAATCCTATTCTCATATATATTTTTATGTTCTGAAAGATATAAGAAGATAAAATCTATAAGAAGAATAAAGAATAAATCTACAAGAAGAATAATGATTAAAATTTAAAACAAAATCCTTCAAGATGAATCCTTCCGTTTCATAGACACATATTATGAAAGCACGAAGACTTGGTAATATTTAACATGTTTCAGCTACTAAATGATTTAAATAAGTAATACTAATTAAATATTATAACAATAAAAGAAAAAAAAATATTTAATTTTTAGAAAATTTTAATTTAAGGAGGACAGTGTTTATCCAGTTATGAAATCATATGGCACAAAAAGTATGTTTGCGTTTTTTTTTAACATTGAATTAACATCCGAATTTTTTTCCATGTATTTAACTACATTTTGATGCGTATTACTGAGCCGCATCTCTGAGGATTTTCATTATAATTTGCAGATTTTTATTATAATGAACAGATTTGTAAAAAATTGATCATAAGTGATTTCTAAGAAAACCTAAGAAAACTAAAATCAAAAAACATGATTTTACAGTATGTTTCAGATTTTGTAATGTTTTTATATATATTTACTATTTTTTTATTTAGATTCTTTCCAAAGTTTATAAACAGAAATTTATATAGCTAAAATTAATTAACGCAAGAGAGAAATATACTTTGTTTGATCAAAATTAAAAGAATTTTGATATTTTAATTATTTTCAAATAATCCTTCTTAAATTACAAATATATTAATTGTGATTTATAAAAAACATCTTTAAAAATCTTTTTAATAAATATTTAATATCCTTAATAATAACTTAAAGAATTTTTTAAATTAAAATATAAATAGAAAAATCTGCTGTTTTGTCACACACTGTTTTTAAATAGATCAAACAGATAATTTTTTTTAATAGTGATATGTTATTAACATAATTTATTTTACATTAAATCAGAACATTAATAATTTTTAACATTTTTAATGCGAAGATTCTTAATAATTAGATATAAATATTATGTTCAAAAAGGATCTGCGAAAAACCATTTTTTTTGTCTGATTTCAGAACGACGAGAGGAAGGTAGTGAGTGCGGTAGTGAAGTGAAACAAGAACCGGATAATGATCCAGAACCGGAAGTAGAGCCGGAGAATGATCAAGACGAAATTACGTGCCTATACTGTACGTATCAGCCGACATCGCGAGAAGAATTACGACAACATTTGCAAGTGGCTCACATTCATGATTCGGAAGAGAAAACTGAAACAGTGAAGGAAGAGCCGACGCCGGATTTATTATGCCCCTTGTGCCAAGATAGTTTCAAGGAACGTCCCGCTCTTGAGAAGCACGTGATGCAAATTCATTCTGTTAATAGTGATGGCCTGCAAAGGTTATTATTGTTAGTGGATCAAAGTCATTGGCTGAATAACAATCCGAGAAATACTTCAACGCCGGCTGTAACAGTTGCAACGACGCCAACATCGCCCACGACAACGACGAAACCCCATCAGGAAGAAGACATGAGCGAACGGAGTGGCAACGATGATATCGAGGAACTTACCAGAACTGTGTGTACTGTGTGTGGTCGAACTTACCGTTCTCCCGAAGATCTTCAGCAACATCATAGAGAAAATCATCCAGCTACTATGCTCACTTTAGCAGTTAGCGAGAAACATGTTTACAAGTATCGTTGCGGACAGTGTAGTCTCGCTTTCAAGACTTTGGAAAAGGTTCAACAACACTCCCAGTATCACGCGATCAGAGAAGCAACCAAATGTACCCTCTGTGGACGATCTTTTCGTTCGGTTCAAGCACTTCAGAGACACTTGGAATCTACCCATGATCTTCATGAAGACGAGTTAGCTCAATATAAACAGAACTTAGTTCACAATCCATTGTTTCAAGCGCTCACGGAAGAAACGTTGAAGAGGCAAAGCAGTTTGATTAGCGAGCAAAATACGGAAGATGAAGCCGGTAGAGGTGACGAAGAGGAAAGTGATGCTAGTGATTCGTCCCCATTGCAGAAAGAGCAACGTCTACTAGAGGATTATTTAAATAGCCAAACAATCGCCGAAGATTCTTATCATGATCCTAGCCGAAAATTCAAGTGTCACCGCTGCAAAGTAGCCTTTACACGTCAGAGTTATCTTACTGGTCATAATAAGACTTTATTGCATCGCAAAGGTGAAAAAATGTCTTATCCAATGGAAAAATATCTGGACCCTAACAGGCCATATAAGTGTGACGTTTGCAAAGAGAGTTTCACGCAAAAGAACATACTTCTCGTACACTATAACAGCGTGAGCCATTTGCACAAGCTAAAACGAGCGATGGCACAGGAGCAAGGTAATAATAATACGTTGATCTCGGTAGTACCTCCAGCCAGCCCAACCGAGTCGCCTGATTCCCAGCAGGATCAGGACAAGAAACCTTACAAATGCAACATCTGCAAAGTCGCATATACCCAGGGTAGTACCTTGGATATTCATATGAGGAGCGTTCTTCATCAAACGCGTACTAGTAAATTGCAGGATCTTGCAGCCAGTGGTCAAGTAGATCTTGCTCGGCCATTGATTGAACAACCATCACCGACAAGTCCAACCAGTTCACCCGTTAATAGTAATGCTAGTAATGCAAGCGGGATGCTTTGCTGTTCGCGCTGTAGTGCTTTATTTGTCAGTCAGGAACAATTGGCAACGCATCAGCAATTATATTGCATTTTTAGTAATCCACTGGCATTATTTCAACAATTGGCATCGCAGCAATTGACTTCATCTACTCCGGCTAAGACACCACCTCCTACATCCACAACACCAGGACCGCAACAACATATGCAACAAGCCACGCAGCATTCGTCGCAGGATATTCTCTCTCAACCGCGACACAAAACTTCACAAATGTACAAACATCTCCTAGAGAGTTTCGGCTTCGATCTCGTAATGCAATTCAACGAGAATCACCAAAGACGACAGCGCAAGGAGGAGGAAGCAGCTGCTGCTCTCCAAGCGCAGCAAGAACAACAAAAGCAGGAGCAACAGAAGCAAGCTCTCGCTGCTCAAGCCGCGCAAGAGAAAGAGGAAGAAGCCGAAGAGACTCACATCGATGATGACGTGATACCCGAACTTACACGCAGCACTTGCCAGCACTGTAACAAAGAATTCAGCAGTGTTTGGGTTCTGAAGGCTCACTGTGAAGAGGTTCATCGCGATCTTGTACCACGTGAATTTCTCGAAAAGTATGCACAGCAGTTCAAGTGCGAATACGAGAAGAAAAGCGTAGTAGTGACTGTTGCGACATCTTCATCGACTAATACGGCACCGAGAAGTTCCACGCCCGCTGCTGGGCAACCACAAGATCTCAGCTCTGATAAGGAATCACGCGAAAAAGAAAAGGAAGAAAACACTGAATGCAAGGAACGCATCAGCCGAACACCAGAAGCCACATCGACCACTCCAACGACGACTCCGGCATTGAGCAACACTCCCGTTTCAAGTACAGATTCTGCGACACCGACTGTATTGCCTACCAATTCACACCATATTCCACAACAACAGTCACAGCAGCAGCAACAACAGCAACAGCATTCACAACTCACATTTGCTCAACAAATGTCCGAAATGCAAGCTGCTTTGAACGCAATGGCGGCGTCACAACTGCAACAACATCTGCAACAATATCCAGGATTGATGATGGGAATGATGGGATTACCATTTTCATTGAACGCTGTACCCGCTTTAGCAGCCATGAATTTACAGCCACCTCTAGTGCCAATGATGTTACCACCACCACCGTATGATGGTGCTGCCGCTGCTGGATATCCACCAATTAATCAAGCGGATCTTCTTGCTAAGCAGCATCTTGCTCTTCAGCAACAACAGGCAGCAGCAGCGGTAAGTAGAGATATGTGTTTGTGATATTTATTTCATGTTTACTCATTTATTTATTATACTCATGTCTACTCATTTATATATATATATATATATATATATATATATATATATATTCATTTATTTATTGATCTAAATCATTCTTTAACAAAAAATAAAATTACTTGTAGTATCAAACATTAATAATCTAGCAAGAAATAAAGACATAATCACAAGGAGATTAAGACATATTTAAAAGAATGTTTAAATTTACGTGTAAAAATGAAAGATTATCTAGAAAAGATATTTTTTATATTTATCCATCAATCTATATCTGTCTTCTGTATCGCATAACTGTCGAATATTAATTGCATATATCAAAAATTAATAAACGGAAAGAAAATATGAGCGATATTTTTGACCTTTCAGGCGAATGCAGCTGCATCACAAAAACGAGCGCGTACGCGTATTACTGATGAACAACTAAAGATATTGCGCAAGAACTTTGATATTAATAATTCTCCTGGTGAGGAACAAATTATAGAAATGGCCGGTCAGAGCGGTTTACCGCCTAAAGTTATAAAACATTGGTTCCGAAATACGTTATTTAAGGAGCGACAACGTAACAAAGATAGTCCTTATAATTTCAATAATCCGCCAAGTACCACTCTGAATCTCGAAGAGTATGAAAAAACTGGTGAAGCGAAAGTCACTCCATTAAACACCAGCGTATCTGGCAGTTCCTCCGATGATAAAAGCCCAAATAAACAAGTCACGCCTCCGCCATCTATGCAAAATACGAGCACGTCGCAACTTACCGAGATTAAGCAGGAGGCACCGGAACAATCACAGTGCCAACAACAACAACAACAACAACAAATTCAACAACATCAAGAGGAGCAGCATCATTCCCCGAGTAGCTCGGGTGGCCAACAATCGCGACCACATTCACCTGCACTCAGTATGAGTTCTATACTTTCGGGCATCCATCATGATATTTCGTCCCATCCCCCATCAACCACAAACGCCCCGAGTACTCCGATGTTACCACCGAAATTGGCGCCACAAAATTTTGCCAATCCCAGTCCAGGAACAGGTAATGTAGTTTCGAACGCGATTGCTGCCATGGCACTTACACCGCAAAGATCTTTGAGTCCGGGTCGTGGACCAACGGATTATTCTTTCGGCGGCAATAGTAATGGTAGCAATGCTTCCGGCGGTAGTTCCGGAAAACGCGCCAATCGAACGAGATTCACTGATTATCAAATAAAAGTTCTTCAAGAATTTTTCGAGAACAATGCGTATCCGAAAGATGATGATTTAGAGTACCTCAGCAAGCTTCTTGGCTTAAGTCCGCGCGTAATTGTGGTGTGGTTTCAAAATGCTAGACAAAAGGCACGCAAAGTTTACGAGAATCAACCCGCCGCCGAGCCCGTGGCAGCGGGTGGACGCGAAAATGACGATGGTTCCGGTAGATTTCAAAGGACACCGGGATTAAACTATCAGTGCAAAAAATGCCTGCTAGTATTCCAGCGATATTACGAGCTTATACGCCATCAGAAGACACACTGCTTCAAAGAGGAAGATGCTAAAAGAAGTGCGCAAGCTCAGGCTGCAGCGGCTCAAGTTGCCGCAGTTCTGAGTTCCGAAGATAGTAACAGCAGTTCTACTACAACTACAAACAACACAGTAGTCAACAATCCATCGACTGCTCCTGCGCTGACCGAACAATTACAACAACCGTTGAACACCGCCACGCCTCCTCATCAGCAGCAGACATTGTCTCAAACGCATCAACAATCCCAGCAGCAATCGCAACAGCAGCAGTCGCAACAACAACAGCAACAATCACAAACGGAATCGAAAGAAAGTAGCTATCAGTGCGAGAAATGCAATTTGGTGTTCGGACGATTCGAGCTTTGGCGTGAGCATCAGCTAGTACATATCATGAACCCGTCCCTGTTTCCGCCAACTTATCCACCTGATACACCTTTCGGAATTCTGCAACAGCAAGCACTTAACGCTACCTCCGGGGTTACAACGGAAACTCCTCATCCGCTTATCGCTATGATGCAGAAAAGAAAATATGAAGACCCCGAGGAGGGAACGGGCAGCGACAACCGTTTAAACTCGGAACATAACGAGCAACCAAAGGACAAACGTTTGCGAACTACGATACTTCCGGAACAACTAGACTATCTCTATCAGAAGTACCAGATCGAGTCTAATCCATCGAGGAAGATGCTGGAAACGATTGCTCGCGAAGTCGGCTTGAAGAAACGCGTGGTACAAGTGTGGTTCCAGAATACACGCGCTCGCGAACGCAAAGGTCAATTCCGCGCCCACAGCCAAGTGATTAATAAGCGCTGTCCGTTCTGTCCGGCACTGTTCAAGGTAAAATCTGCCCTAGAATCTCATCTCAGCAGTAAACACGCCGATCAAGTAGCTCGCGGTGAAGTTAACATTGACAACATCCCGGATGAAGAGCTCTCGATGGAATCCGCTCCTTCAAATTCTAGCACTCCTCATATGATGCCACCATTGTTTCCGCCGATCAATAGTGACATGGAGGCATCTATAAAGTCTTTGAAAACCTCTTATTACGAGGAAATGAAGCGATATTTTAGCGAGTTGGCGCACGCCAGTAATGGAAAGCAAGAGATAGTGAATCATCAAATCCTCAGCAACAGCGCCGAGTCACCGTTAGATCTGAGTAAACCGGTCGATCTCAGTCGACCTGTGAAACTGACTTTGGGTGGTCTAAGTAGCCTTCTCGAAGAACAACATGGCTCTCACTTCCGCGGCGGCAGTGACTGCGGACCCCTGACCGATTTATCCGAGCGCAGCATTTGCGATGACGACAGCATGAGCGAAACTACGGAATTCCTAGACGATGAAAGTGGCCCAGCGAGTCCGGCTTCAAGTACTCAGAGCTCGAGGCAAGGACCCGCTAGCGGAGGCACCAGTGCCTCTGGACCGCCGGTGACCAGTGCACAGTCCAGTGGCGGGAACACCACTAGTCAATCCGGCGGCAAGCGGTATCGTACGCAGATGTCAGGCACCCAGGTGAAAGTGATGAAGTCGCTGTTCTCGGATTACAAGACACCGACGATGGCCGAATGTGAGATGCTCGGCCGCGAGATCGGCCTACCGAAGCGGGTGGTCCAGGTGAGCATCGATGGTCCTCGTGCGAGCCCGGCTCCGAGCTCATAATAAATCGTTAATAATCCACGAGGAAGCTGTTATTTGGACGCGCGCGCGTGTCTAATCTCGATCCAAGTTTACGGAGACTAATGGAGACGAGTTGCAGGTGTGGTTCCAGAATGCCCGTGCCAAGGAGAAAAAAGCTAGGCTAGCGGCGGGTCTGCCGGCCGAGAGCTCAGCCATTCAACCGCATCGTGGACCAACCGGACCAGATGAATGCAGATTGTGCTCTGTACGCTACTCGGCCAAGACCCCGCTGCAGGAACATGTCTTCTCGCGGCGGCACATCGAATCGGTACGCGTCGCCGTCGAAGAAGGCAGTCTGGTACCGCCAACTCCCGGGGCACCGATCGTGACCGGCGGCGGTGGCAGCGGCAGTGGTGGCGGCGGCGGCGGTCCTGGCATCAGCAATTCACCGGTAGTCGCCACTACCAGTCAGCAAATCAGCCAGCAGCAGCAGTCGGACGAAAATTTGATGTACGGATCCGTGTTCCTACATCCCACGGCAATGTTCCAGTCGCAGCAACAGCAGCAGCAGCATCCCGCCGGTGCTGCGACCAGCGCAGCTAGCACCACTACCGGTGAGTGTCTGGCTGACCTCTTAGACGACTAAACGACGCCGGTTTGAAATTTATTAATTTAATAATTATTTATATTATATATACATTTGCATATACATATATATATATATATATATATATATATATATATATATATATATGTATATCGTACTTTCAACATAATATCGAATATTCACTTCCGAAGAATTTTATTTCGAATTTTATTTTATGAGGATCTATTATGAGGAACTATCGTCTATTATGAGGAAATTTATGTAGATCTCTTGACGTTCGCAGTAAAATTGAAATTAAACTACGAAATTTTGAATTCGCGAGCGTTAAGTCGTTTATAAATATGTCTTTATTTCGGATCGATATATTATGTATTTTCTATGTATATATTGCGATGATATATTGTTAATAATTATATACTCAATCATAAAATTAGGCCTATGTGATATTCTAAAGGGCCTAATTTTATTTGAATAAAAATAATACAGATTAAGATAAGTAAATCTGAAACAAGTATTTTTATGTTGTATATATACATCTGTACATATATAAATATATACAAACTAAAATTAGACATTAAATTATAGACTTATTTCAAATAATATATTTAGAATAGGCAATAAAGTTCCTTCTCCAGTTATCAAAAGATAACTGTTAGTTTAAGAACGAGGTTGCAAATAGTATAAAGAAAAATAATTGCGAAAAATAGAAAACCAAAATCGGGTGGGTTTAAGAAAAATGTGAATATAAGAAAAATGCACCACAAACGCGAATCAAGAATTAAAAAATTTTTTTGTTTAAATAATTTAATTATCGCTGTTGAGTATTAAAAATGGAATTTGGACTGTAAAATCGTATAGTCAAAGAGGAGACCCTCAATTATATAACAATTCTATATTATATATTATATTTTATATATTATCTGTTATATTTCTTAAAAGCGCGCGTCACTCTTTTATTTAATCGATTATTGTACGAAGTGCAAACCTACGAAGCCTTCTTTCGATTCACATTATATTATCGTCGTTATCGTTCATCATCCTCCGAATTCATTCCAACATCATCGCTCTTTAAATTTCTTTTCTTTCGCGCTACACGCGTTTTGTTTACTGTAAATACTTCATTCTCGCTCCTCGGAGTCCGAATCGGAACCCGAGCGAGAGAGCTCTCTCTCTTACGGTTAACTTTTATTTAAGTAAACTCTCGATTATAAATATACTAATTCTACATATTTAGTTACGAACAGTCTCAATTATGTTATTAACAACGTCATACATCGAAAACTATACGCAGCATCTTATATCATACGCAAGTATATTTCATTTCTTTTATATTAATTATTTATGAAATTTTTTTCTTTTTTTTTTCTGATGTCGTCACGCTCTCGTCTGCCAACACGTCCGACAAAATCAGAAACATTATTAAATATCACGTGTCACCATCATCCCACTGCCGGTATATAATATGTATATATATCTTTACTTTGTTGAAATCTGTATATTTGCGAGAAATGCACATCTATTGCGTAATAACTGAGATAACAGAAAAGACGATCCCGTGAGATCCACAAAGTGGAATATTGGCGTATATTAGAAAAACGAATCATAATGCTATAAAAAAATCGGTTTAATTATATTGAATAAAATGAAAAAAATTACGAATGTGAATTAAAGCAATCTTATTGTTACGTATCAGATGCAACAAATTAACTACGATGAGATTATTAAAATGAGTAAATAATCACCTTGATTATCTTTTTCTGCAAAGACAAGATATATAATATATATAATATATAATATATATAATATATATAATATATATAATATATATAATATATAATATATAACATTATAAGAGATATATATATAATTATATATATATAATATTTTCGGCTTTTCGTTACTTAGCTACCATTCGAAACTATAGACATGAAGATCGTGTGTGCATATTGAGAGAAAGAGAGAGAGAATACATTTATATATTTACTTAACTTAACCAGTGATACTTTCACTGATATAATTGTGAATTACAATAATTAATCAGAAACATTTTTCTAGAGTTGAATATTACAGAATCGTGTAAAATTTAGATTAGATTTGCTCCTTTTAGATAGTTTTTATTTTGTTCTTTTTACGAGAAATACGTACAACATTTTATAAAATAAAATAGAAACTTTTGAGACTTGAATATATTATAGAAATTATATTTAAACATCATGCAAAAGACGTAATGCGTAAAGATTCTCATTATTCAGACACATAATAGGTACACTCGGCAACCAAAATGTCTTAACACCTGAATTTGCCCGTGTTAAGGCATATTCGGACGACGTACTTCCACCCTATTATAATTGCGCATCATGACTATTTAATATCTGGCAACGATGTTTCAAAGCGATTTTACGCAAAATTCAAACTAATGTGTGACATATCTGAAAAAGTGGTTATATGTCAAATATGTCAAAATGTATATGATTAGAAAATAAGTAATGCACATTAATTATATAAAATATTAAAATAAAATACCTTAAATATATAAAAAATATAGCGTGATATGAATTACACATATTAATGCCAGTTTTTTATTGTGTCGCAGATTTGAGGATGAGCGACTGCTGTTCAAATATAAAAACTTAATATGTGTAATTCATATCACGCTTTATATTTTTTATATATTTAATATATTTTATTTTAATATTTTATATAATTAATGTGCATTACTTATTTTCTAATCATATACATTTTGACATATTTGACATATGTCAAACCACTTTTTCAGATATGTCACACATTAGTTTGAATTTTGCGTAAAATCACTTTGAAACATCGTTGCCAGATATTAAATAGTCATGACGCGCAATTATAATAGAGTGGAAGTACGTCGTCCGAATATGCCTTGACACAAATTCAGGTGTTAAGGCATTTTGGTTGCCGAGTGTACGTATCAAAGAGAAGCGTAAGGGACAGTGATGCCAGTTTCAGGACGCTGCCTACCACTACCTGTACAGGAGATAGCGCACACAAAGAAAGAGCCGTGCACGACAGCTAGCTTCAGGTAGTAGAAGAGCGCAGATACGGACACGGCTCTTTCTTTGTGTGCGCTAATTTCATGTACATGTAGTGGTAGGGGGTCTAGAAACTGACATCACTGATAAGGAATGATAATCGTCAACAATTTTTTAAATTTTTATCACGATGTTATGCTAAAATAGCGAAGAACTCATTTTCAAAAAAATGGACTTGGAATAGATAGCAATATTAACGCATTCATTAATTGATGCAATGACATTAACTTTGAATATTTGGCGATGTGCATCCGTTTACTTTTTTCTCTCTCTTTCTTTTTTCAATTTATTTTATTTTGTTCATGGCTGATGAGAGTGTGGCTTCGCTTTTCGCTTTCTTTCTTCATATAAAATATACATATTCATTTATATCACATACATATAAGTAGATTCATATATGGACTTTTCACAGTGCTGTATGTCGATGTATGTCGATCCACTATTATTTTCTTACTTTGTGTATATATTATATAGTTTATTATTATTAATTATTATTATTAATTTGACTATTTTTAATTATTGTCATTATCATTGATTAATTATATAATAATAGTAGTATATTATTTTGTGTAATTAGTCAGTCAAGAGAATAATAATTAATATTATTATATAATTAAACAATAAAATGAATAAAAAATAATTATACTATTAATCTCTTCTGATTTATTACCTTATGTTATTAATATTATATTATTTTTTCTCTAGTCTATAATAATAAAATTGTATTACATAATATTACTTTTTTGTTTTTTTCTTGTTTCAATTTTTGTATCCCCCATCCCGAATATCCTTCTCCAATTCCTACCATCATGGAGCCATCAGAAACGTTTTGGTAAGTCGCGATTTGTTTTGAATTTTTATCATTTGATTAAATACGAAATCGAAATAAATGATACGGTTATGATTTTGACTCGCACGCGTTGAGATAAACTTTACCTTTACATTGCGATAAAAAAATGATATGCATGCCATAAGTAAAGGCAAAGTATATTCTTGGAGATACTTGATGGAAACATTTCATCACAATCAGAAAAATCGTATTAATGATATTAATGTACACTTAATTAATATACAAATTAATATATATGTATATTATAATATACAGACATATTTACTTATGGCGAATCAATGCACAATATAATTTGTTATGATATTGGCTTTTAGGATTTCGATCTGATCGACATACATGACATTCTAGCTACTAACCAAGCCTAACTTCGATTATATGACGAAATCATAAGTCAAATTAGTAGCTACAAACTGAGAGACTAACTTGCATCCTCCTAAATAAATTAAAAGTGACAGCGAAATATACTGACGTGACATATTCGTTTCAAACTCGCATTCATTACTTACCACGTTTCGATTGTTCCTTACACAATTATAATTTTTATTTTTAATAAAATTTTTTCATTATTTATAATTTTTAAACAGTATAATTACATGTACTCTTAATTTTTACAGGATAAACAAATATAAAATATTGTAAAAACAGACTTTAATATATTGAGAGAATTAAAATTTTTAGTTATATTTTCAGAATTTTAAATTATGAATTTTCGTTATTTTAGTTTAAATCTTATAGATGCATTTGAATCCATACATTTATAATTTCTCATAATTAATATTAAACTTAATACAACTCTAATGATTTATTATTAAGTTATTCCAATATTTCAACCACTTAATTTATTCGGACTTATAATTGCTCGGTACAAAAATTCACACGAAATGTATTTCTAGAAATGCAGATTAAAGGATCATTAAATTATGGAATTTTTAGGGATTTTTAAGTCGTATAATTCACAGAGAAAAACAAATCTTTTTCACATCACACAATTATATTAAAGAGTTAATATCGAAAAAATATTTCGAGATATAAGAAGGAAGAGTAGGAGATTGTTAAAATGACCGGGGATAATATCGTGATAGGTTGCAAATTTGA